TCACAACAATGAAGCTTTTAACACCATACAAATTGTAAAGGGAGTGGAAGAATGTTTTAATTGAAAGAGCTACATATAAAGCAGCAAAAACACAACTTTCAAAACCAAAAGAAGCCTCTAGTGCAGAAATAGAGGTGCAGTGCAGAAATTTTAGCCCAAATACCTCAAGCCAGAGACAGTGCGTCGTTGCCTTAGCTGAATCAGTTCAGCTGCTGCCATTGAAGGTAATCTCTCCTCCTCGACAGGCCTTTCATTTCGCAAGAATCTACCTCTGAGCAGTGACTGGGAAAATATATATTAAAAAGCATTTAAAACGTAGTTGAAAGCACAGTAATACACTAATACTTGTATGATTTTTTTAAATTTTCTGACTCTTTTTAGAAAAGGAATTATATTTAGAAGTAATATATTCTCTAGAGTCTAGAGAGTAGAGACTGCAAAAGGGTGTTAAAAAGTAAATAGCCTTGCTCTCTAGCCTAAATGATCAAGAATTCCAGGCTCTTTTTGCATCATTGTATGTCACCTAGCAGGCGAGATATGTCCATTGGATGTAAATCCAAGGAACTAAAATTTGAAATGGCATGTTGAATGCCTGAATATCATTTAAACTATAAAGTGTAATCTAGATTTAGAAGTTAGAACTGAAATTACTATCTACTGTCCCACTATTTTTGTTCCTTTTTACCTTTTTTTGTTCGTCCCAACTCCCAAGATTTTGTCTCATACCACATTTAGTAACATTTCGGAGGTTCACACGTGTTCTAACTTCTTCCTACTTTTTAACTTCACTATGAACCATACATTTGGGTTCAACTATCCTATGTCCCAGATAGTTGGACGAGAAGTGTATATGCATAAACAAATAACTGATGGAACATTCATAGTCAAATTCAAAACACAGGAGTATAAACTTTCCGGAACAGAGGAATAGATAATGAATGAATACTAAGAAAGGCCAAACAAAATGTCACGTAAAGGAATACCAGGATGAAACAAAGTGATAACTAACTTGAATGCGATTGCGGTGGGCAAAGTTAGAAACAGCTCGGTGCTCTGAAAGTCTCCAAAGTTCCCTTTGCCTTTCCCTTACATTCCCCACAAGCACGCCAAGCTGACCCTGCCTTCCACATGATCTCAGCATGTCTTCGTCAACATGCTCTTGCTGACCTTCATTATCATCATCAAGTCCATTGTTCTGTTCTTCCATGTGCCCCTCATGGGGTGCTCTCTGTTGGTTGTTCATTTGCACCCACTCCCTCACAGTTCTAACTCTTCCAATCTCAGTTTCCCCAAGCCATTCCCCATTCCTCTGGACAACAGTAGATACATTATCTGTGATCCCTCTCTCCATCCACCCATGAACAATACGTCCCACTCTATCCCTCTCAAGATCACTAGAACCGGGTGACTGCTCTCGGCTGGAACTGCTATGTCCCATATTCTCATCATGTTGTCCAATTGGGTCATGAGACCAAGTTCTTAAGCCAATCTCAAACTCAGTAGCATCTGTAATGCTGGCTTGGTTCACACTGTCTCTGCTTTCCGACATGCTCAAACTCATCTGATGTGCCAGCCTTTCCGTACCAGACAATAATTCCCTCAATGATGATGAATTGGGCATGGAGACCGTGTTTAATGGATAAAATGCCATCAACTCAGACTCAGGGTTCCTCATTTCTGATGTGTTGATCATCTCCAAGGCATGCCCGGCAGGCCACCTACTCAATACCCTTGAATGATGGTGCCCTCTGGCAGCAGATGACTCCGCCAGCTCATCCCCCTCCGCAGCAGGCATCCGATAAAAAAGCCTGATATTTTTGTCATCCACATCGTCTGTAAATGACGAACAATCATCCAAACAGCCACGCATCAACACCTCGAGCCCCCTCCAGGATTCAACGCGGCCATCATCATCAGATGTACTCTCTACCCACTGTTGAATTTGCTGCTGAACATCAAATTCTTCAAAAGCGACTATTTTTTCAAACAGCTAATTTAGAACCTAACGCCTGGAGAATCGCCTAATCAGACAAGCCTAACATCCAGAGCTCACCCAAATTTCCCAATCGCTGGAACTGAAACTTCCACAAATCACTCCATCACTCCCCTAAACCTAGAACACGATCGCAAAACTCTGGTGCGTTCGGTACAAGAAGGGCGTTGTTCGAATCCAGATGTTTGACTGGTTGGATAGTATCACCTGATCGGAAAAAAATGTACAGAAAATCTACAGTTCATCAAACCAGCAAGACTGTTCATAAAAAGAAGACGAGAATTCAAATCTTTTCATGAAATGAATGCATTAAGATCATGGAGCTCAAACGGAAGTGAATTAAAAAGTGATCTAGTTCAGGAAGATGACCCCGATTATAATAATAATAAGATGATTCAGACGAATGAGGAAGGAATGAAGGATGGAGCACGGAAACGTATCTCTAAACAGAAGACTCCGGATAAAAATCTGATTCTCCGGACAAAGACTCGGACTACCATTTGGGGCGTGTTTGGCAAATATCCTCTTTCAATTTAAATTATGGATAAAACTATTTGTACCCCAACTTTTATACCCCATTTTGTATTGGTGTAAAACTAATTTTTGTTAACGCACCAACATTTTGTGTCCGTGTAAATTTTTGTTAACGCACCAACACTTGTGTCGGTGTAAACCATCAAAATGTTTGTGTATAACTGCGGTGTACAAATGGGGTACAATTTTTGGTGTAAGTGTAGCATGACCCTTAAATTATTTGTTTATGATTCATGTAATCAAACTTTAATCACATTCTTGACTTATTTGAGAAACTAGCATAGTCTTGTCATTTCTTGTTTTTTTTTAAAAAAAATATGTAGTTTTTAAATATTTTAATTTTATTTTCTAATTCTTTACTATTTTTCAAATAAATTAATTTGAAAATAACTTCAGTCAAACCTTATAAACAACAAGTGATTCTTTTTGGGACAGAGTAAGTTGGATTTTGTTATTTAATGTTAGAGTTTAGCTCACAAATCAATAGGTACGACACGTCGTACGTAATATGATGTACATCCAGTAGATCGGAAGAAGAGCCAATCGATCGAGAGGAAGAGACGAAATCCGTGGATCAAAAATCCTAGCTGCGATGAAAGAGATGGGAGCAGCGGCAACCAGACAAGGCGGCAATGACGGCGATGGTAACAAGGCTAGGCGGCGACAACCAGCGACTCTAACTCTACATGAAGAATTTGGTGGTCTGAACGGTACGTTGTTTAAGAATAAACACTACGTTATTTAATAATCAACACTACGTCGTTTCAGAATGAAACTAAGTTATTTGTAAATGAATTGTATAATTGTAATGAATAAGTGTGAGAAAAATGAGCACGCGTGGTTTCAGAATGAGTATTACGTTGATTCATAATGAATACTCTTTTACTCCAAGATGGACACTTATGTTTTGTGCAAAAATGTGTACTACTTTACTCCAAAATGAGTAATATTTGGATGTGCCTATATTCTATCCCTTTTATTGAGTAGTACCTCCCCAACACACATGTTCATACTACAGTCATACCATTGATGATACTCCTAGTGTTTCACACAAATTAATTATTTACAAAAAATGAGTATTTGTGTGATCATTTTTCGTGGTGTCAACTTTGATTTCATCCTTGGAATTAAAGTAGCATTATTCTTGTGCATATTGCCCCCATCCTCGGGGTTCCTTTCCTTCTAGGAAACGCATCCCCTCTCTTTTGTAGATCATATTGCATATGTATCGCCTTCCCTTTCTAGTGTTGCATCCCTTCCACACACCATCACTTGATATATACCCTTTCGTCTAGCTCAGGTGACAATAGTAAATAATAATGATGGTGATGTTTCTAGAAATGCTTATGTTTAGCAAAATTCTTAACCGTGATTATACATTTGTGTGGGTGAAAACTGATAGTCAATAACCATTAAAGACAATATATGTAGGTTAATAGAGAGAGAGAGCGTGTGTGTGTGTGCATACATAATACACACTCTTATTAAAATTTGGAATTTAAAGTTGTTCTAATGAGGGGGGTGTCTTATAGTTTAAAGGGAATCCTCTGCTGGGATGATGTTCGTCGTGTAGCGTGTGGTGTGTTCTCCTTGTCTTGACATACTCTAAAGGACGTCATAGCATCCATCTCTTTAGACTTTGACACCTTGTGTGTGTCCGAGTACCCATGGTGAGTGTTCGGAGCATCTCTGAGTGTTCGGAGCATCTCTTTCAAACGCTTGTTGTAAAGTGAAGGTACATTATACTCTATGCATGAAGCTTGAGCTTACGGGTAAAGGTCTAAAGGTGCACATGACCTAGTTGAGGACCAGTGCATTCTGTTTGTGGTAATATTTGTATGTAAGCCGTCCCCTAGTCTGGTCTTTGGGGACGAGTAGAGAGGTGAGAACCTCATATATGTTGGAGGTCGTCCCTCAGGGATGACCAGGGCTTCAAGCGACCTTCGTCGAAGGCGTCCATCTAACCCATGGCTATGCCCAAGTTACCCTTAACCTTTTCCCTTGGTACAAGTCCATCTAGGTGGGCATAGCCCAACGTGTGAGGCCCAAGCTTCCATCAATAGGATTGGCTCTGCGCAATTGATTGGGCAATAGAGCGAGGATCGTAATATGACATTCTATAGCTTTTTTTTAGGTAGGCAATATGAAAACCATCCCTCTCTTTTGTCATATGAACTTCAATAATTGTTTTCATAGAATCCAAGAATGACTCTTGTTTGAAAAAGAGAAGGTTGCCATTCTTTTTAGAATTTTAAACTACACATACGAGTTTTGTTTGGTTCACTTACAAGGTATGGAATAGACAATATTTTTCAAAGCAATATTTTTTCAGAATCTAGAGGTGATAACTATGAGAACTGAAAGTCCTAAAATTGATAAACGGTGTCCTCTGAATAATGAGATCTGGCACTAGAGTCTTGTGACTCCATATCTCCAGGCTGGACTTGTAATAAGTTGAAAGAAAGAGCACGCAAAACTAGAATGTCATTTTTTAAATAGTAAGCCATTTTCCATAATGTTTCCAAAACACACAAAAAAAAACTTTCTCCTCTCCAAGAAGAGTTTTCAATTTATCATGCAACACCTAATAGTATTACCCATTGGTATATGTCGTCGTCATCATCATCATCAAATATGAAAATAAGCTCTTGCGATTTTAAATTTGACCGTTTCCCAGGGGCCGCCTTGAGGTGTCACCGGTAGCCCACGCTTGATAGTCCTTCACTAGCTGCACACATCTCAATTCCAGAGTTTTAATAATGAGCTCGGCTTAAATTTGTACTTCTAGTCTTCTAGCAAAAATTATAAAGCAAACAAAAGATTAAGTAACAACAACAACAACAACCCAGTTGAATCCCACAACAGTAGGGTCTGGGGAGGGTGTGTGTACGCAGACCTTGCCCCTCCTCGGAAGTAGGGAGGCTGTTTCCAAGAGACCCCCGGCTCCACCTGCACAAAAATATGGAAGAGAACACAGTATAGCACAGATAAGACACCAAGTACAAGCAACAAGTACAAAAGATTAAGTATGCGAAAAAAATGAATTCTTGAGCAATTGGAATGGTTAGTAATAGATAAGAGTACTGTGTAATACAACACTGGCTTCGTTGTTGTTGTACAAATCTAATACAGTAATGACTTCACACCATGTGAAGTATGGTTATGAAGGTGCTGGTAAAAGAGTCATTATTGACACTATTTTAGTTACCGAGCACATTAAGGACTAAATGAAAATGACAAATTAAACTTCTCTTGCATCTTTTAGATTATATGCGAACATCTATGGTCTAACGGAAACCATCTATTTGTTATTACAGGGGTAAGACGACATATATCTTGACACCCAAACCCCAAGAGAGTAGTGTTGGGATTATACTGGGTTGCTGTTATCATTGTTTACCATTGACTTCACATCTTCCACTTATAGTTATTTTGCTTCATATCAGATGGTCTGAAACAGAACTCTCCAAAAACACCTAAGGATACTCTCCATCAAGGAGATAGTTTTGGGCTTTTGACCCACAACAATAAACTTCTCACTTTCCTTATCAATCCATCCCAAAATAAACTTCTAATTCCCTTTAAGAAACATCCAATGGTCATGTCATTTCTATCTTTTCTGCACAAATATCAACCAACAATTTCACTTTTTTCTTGAACTCCGTAAAAAAGCAAATCGAAAGTTTCATTTGAGACAGAGGGAGTACTTCCATAGTTCCATTGCAGTACCCCTCTGCTTGGTCTGGGTTTATGTTTGAATACAATTGCAGAATTCACTTCACATTGCTAAAAGAATTCACTCTTGATGGAAAATACATCTAAAGCACATGTAGATACGTTTTAGCGCTTATCTACTACAATATTTGCCCCTCAACCCTTACCAAATGAACTCTATGTGACGGTGTAGCAAGGCTTCCCTATTTGTTGGGAAAAGAGTGGTGATCTAATACTTAATTTTAATGTGTTAGTGATTAGTGTAAAGGGAACCATGTGCACTTTGTGTTTACTTAGTAAGAGAAAAATGTGTGTGTGCATCCTCACGCGACTTAAAAAGGTAATACCTCTTAAGTGTGTACTTTATGTGCTGAGGAATATAACAAACACCACACACACTAGTTATGCTCTTTGAGTCTTTGGCAACTCAAAATCGTCTTGTAGCTTGTAAGTAGTCAAGACATGATTTCTACTCAAAAAATGCCTAAGCATTCTCTTTCATATTACTTGATCTAAACTAGTGCTTAACAGTCCAAGTCAGAACAATACATACATGTGGAGGATATATATGCTAAAACTTGTACCCTAACACACCTGTGCCATAAACCGTGGAAGTGTGATCCCTAGTACCCGGTCAAGGATTTTAGCACCAGTTGATTCAATTGCTTTGACAGGAAGTGCTCGGAATGCAAAGGGAATTTCAATGTTAACCTGTGTAAACAAATTATGTTCATGTACTACTCTGATGTGTAGTTATTCTTCACATGAGAAGTGGCCATAATGTCAGACTGTGAGATTACCTCAATGACTGCATCTGAAGTGAGTTGCCCTAGAGTCGCGTCTCCTGGTTTGTTATCACAACTTATTCTATTCACCAAAGAAGCTGCATATCCATATCAAATAAATTTCAAAGGCATATCACTCTTGAAAATAATTTGTTTAGTAAGCTTCAGGAAGGGGAAAAAATATCTTACTGGCAACTGCTATGTTTTTTTTTTTTTCAATTACAGTGCTAGTTATCAAACACACTTAAAAACAAAGACACCCTCATTAGGATGCTGCCAGATCAAATTTTTAAATTGTACATTTATTGTAATCAGATCTATAGCTGTAAAATAACGTTTGTTCATTTTGAGTCATCTAGTGCTTTGTAGACACGAGCAAGCACAAGAATCAGTCAAATTGCAAGAATTTAAGATCTTGAAATCAGCTCCTCTGTTTTAAATAAATGTTCATTATTGCAAAGAAATGGAAACTGTATTTATTGCAGCGACTAACCAGCAATATAAATAGGAACTGACTAAAAACAATTATACGGCCATACGGGGGTCGGGGTAGATGAAGTAGAAGTTTATGCAGCATTGGTGACATTCATTTGACAGTGGAATTAGAGGAAAGTTCAGGGCCAAAGGTAATTCAAGGATCAGTCACGAAAATTGCTTTGTTATACAAGTATTCGCCATTCCATATTTGTCTGATCCAAGCCTAAAAGAGACCTTTCCAGCTACCTCCCTTAATGAGGGTAATGTAAGCCTTGTTTAGATTGATCAACTATTTCTCTTTATTAAAGAAGAAAACGCCATGCATGAAACAGATGAAGAGATGGTACATGACTGGGTGGAAATGCAAATTAGGAAGAGCCTACGCATAAATGAAACATGTCCTGAAAAAATCTTTTTTCCCCATCAATTCCACGTGAATGTTTCTGAGAGAACCCAATGGGCGGCTTTGGTTGGAATGACAAGAGCTACCTGTTGGCTATATTTAGAGAAAGAAAAAGCTTCCCAAATCCCAACTAAGCTACCTTTGGTTGGGGAGCTTATTTAAGAATCTCTATTTAACTTTTTGGTTATAATTTGAGTTTAGACCATATGACTACAAATATTACTGTATATTTTTACATGGTTAGATAGTCAGCTAGTATAACCTTTGTTCTTGTTTTCACGAAATAGCAACATTGCCACAAACACATGCAATCACACAAAAAAAATAGAAATAAATATGAGTATATAAAAAGCTTACCTTCAACCTTATCATTTTGAGCAACAACAATAGGTGAGCCCTCAAGCTGAGGAATGGGGAAAAAAACAAGAGGCAAATAATGATGAACTGCAAACTAATCAAAAGTTAAAAAGGTGTGTCAAGTAATGCCCATACCTTGCAAGACAATAGGTTAATAGAGCACCCGTCGGGCTGCTCCTCGACTCTCACCAACAAAACAGGGCGCACCTCAAAAGCAAAGAACTTAAAACCATACACATAACATCTGAATGTATTATCATCCACCCGTTCGATCCTCTCTGCATCCAGCACCGAATACTGACTCGCAGGCAATCTCATGTACTCCACTTCAAAAACAAAACTCAAATCAGTTTAAACAAATCAATCATGAGCTAAGCAGATTATCCACAGAAAAACAAAACAGAAGATCTCACTCAGAGGTCTTTGTAGCTGTTGGACCACCACAGATTCCTTCCTGCGAGCTGCAAATCTAAGTTTTGGAGCAGATATGGCAGAAACATGAAGACATGCTCTTCGCGAATGGGAAGAGAAAGAGGGTAAGCTAAACACAGGGAGTTTAGGGTTTCTAAATCGAAATGAAGAGTCAACCAATTTTGGTGATGATGACGATGAAGAAAGAGTAAAGCTTGATTTCATCTCCATTTCTTCAGTCTGATTTCGTTCTTTTAATAAAAACAAAAATGAAATAAAGCTTTGATGAGTTCCAGATTCAGTCCCCGACAGTTTCCTTCAATCGATAATGACAATTCACTACCATACGCAGGTAAAGTTAAACTAAAGGACGAAACGGCTTATAATTTTTATCACGAGTCACTGCAGAAATTCATCAAATATTTAAAGCGAAAATAAATAATGCAGGATCAAAACGGAATAAGAAACTGGAATGGTGATCGATTCATTGAAAGAGAGATGAAGGTTACATGAAACACGATAAGATTTCAGGAATCAAGACGAAATCAAAGCTACTTTACATCAATTAGCCCTAATTCAGACGATAATGAAATCCAAAGACAGATTAAAAATGTTTAGGAGCTGGTGAATTTGGTGACGGCCTTGGTGCCTTCAGAAACAGCGTGCTTGGCCAATTCTCCGGGAAGAACCAATCTCACGGCGGTCTGGATCTCGCGGGAAGTGATGGTGGGCTTCTTATTATAGCGGGCGAGACGAGACGACTCCTGGGCGAGCTTTTCGAAGATGTCGTTGATGAAGCTGTTCATGATCCCCATGGCCTTGCTGGAGATCCCGATGTCAGGATGGACCTGCTTCAGCACCTTGAAGATGTAGATCTTGTAGGTCTCCACCGACTTCTTCACCCTCTTCTTCTTCTTGTCACCAGCCGGAGCAGATGCTCCGACGTCCTTCGGGAGCTTCTTCCCGGCCTTAGGCTTCTTCTCCGCCGCCACAGATTTCTCGGCGGCTGCGGCCTTCTCCGCCGCAGCAGGCTTCTTTTCCGCCTTGGGGGCCATCTGATCTGGAGGAAAACGAGGAAAGTATAGAGAGATAGAGAGGATTGAGTTTGGTGAGAAAGCTCAAATGTGGAATGGCGATGAGAATTCGATCGGTCGGGGTTTGTTTATATAGGACTCTCGGCGGAGTCGTGATTGGTTCTTTGGGAACGACGCGGATCGTGAACTCCCAGCTTTCTAGCCGTTGATTATTTCGATCTATCAACGGCGGAGATTGAGTTGGACGGAAACAAAGAGTTTTCTGAAATTCGAAATTAAATGCGTACCGCGGCAAAAAATGTTTTTTTTATTTCCCGGTTAAAAAATTACGGTACCAAACAATACTCCCTCCTTGGAAGACAAAAAATCTCACCTGCCCCAGTCCTTTTTTTCACATTATTTCTATGAATAAATTTTTGATGTGTAAATTTTATCAATATAAGAAAAAAAATCACCAATCCCACTCTCCTTTAACATAATTCTCAAATTATCTTTTAAACATTAAATTTCTATTTTGACACACATAATGCAACATTTTGTCATCAAACATTTCAAAAATATTTTTGTGAAGTAAAAAATAATTTAAAAATTAATTTTTATTAAATTTTTTACTTGTAAGTAATAATTAATAATTTGATTACAAAAAGTGTATTCCTTCTGTCACCCAGTTTTTGTTCGCTTTTATTTTTGTACTAAAACCAATGCATAGGTAAATGTCACAAAAGTCTTTTGTTTTAGGTCTCCTCCACCACTGGCTTTCCTACGTTCATAAACGGTCGTTTATGAATGTAGATCGTTTCTACGTTCATAAACAGCCGTTTGGTTGAGTTTTGTGTTTGACATGTTGAATAACTAAGAATTATAAATCTTGAATTTATTGTTAAAACTTCGAATTAATAATGTCAAAATGATCTATGAACCTTGGAGAACATTGTTATCTAGTTTAATTGAAGTGTGGTGACTTAAAATGAAATTTCTGAAAATTAGCTCGAGGTTGAAGATGACACTGTTCAAAATTACGCGTAGAACGGTATCGTGCTACCGCCCGGACGGTACCTAGTTACCGCCTGCATGGTAGGGCATACCACCAAAACAGGGCATACCACCACAACAGTGGCCCTCCTACCGCCGGTTGCTGCTTCTCTGGTGGTGGCTGGTGGCGGTCGATACCGAGGTAGCGTGACAGAGTACCGAGGTAGCGTGACGGGTACCCTCCAAAACCCGAAATTTCCCAGGAAACCCGATCTTTGAACTATTAAATCCTATTTTTAATACCAATCAGCTATGATAAATATAAAAATGATATCTGAAAATAAAAATGATAGTTTGATCCCCTAAGAACCTTATGTGATGTATGACGGTAAGCTAGGGTGTTAACACTCAACGCTAGGCCGCTATTTGTTATTGGATATTATGATGAATTGATGATTATTATTGACGTTGTTTATGATCGAACTTTAATGAATATTCTGATTGAAAAGAAAATTTTGAATGATTGAATCATGACTAAAAATGAATATATTGATGATTATGAAAATCATGTGTATTGTTAAGGGTATCTAGAATAACTCTAAGATATACCCATTTAAAAAATTAATGTTGATTATTAAGAATATCCAGAAGAACTCTAAGATATACCTATGTAACCAATTCAGTAATCTGGGGTTAAAATGTACGTACGGGATCCAAACCAAACTTGAGGATCACTTGCTTGGGGATATCACCCACCCGACAATTCTATGTTCAGTTGGAGCATGATCCATAAGACTCGTAGGATGGATCATCGATTATTGTGTTCTGCCATAAACTAATTATAGTTTAAGAGTCTGGGCATAAATATTGCATTAGACTAAGAATAGTATAAGAGCTTTGTTATCAAAATGGTTTGGCCTTAGATTAAGAATAATTTAAGAGCATTGTTAAATACTTACTCAATATGGAATATTGCATATATCATGAAATGACTCGAATTAAAATGTTGTGAATATCATAAATGATGAATGCTTGAATTGAATATTATGTGCATGATACCAAATGATTTGATTATGAATTGAGATTCAATTTATATGGACGTTCGATGCATTAGGACCGCTTGCGAGCTGATCCGTGCGGAAGACATTGTCAGGTGGGGAGTTTGGCTGGGGCGGCACATCTCACTCAACTTTACGGCTGAGCGTATAGTATGTTTTATTTGCTACATGCAGGTAAACAAAAAGAATGAAGTGATGAAATCCTGGTGGCAGATGGGGCGAGATAGTCAGGATGGATATGTGAATTTGAATTACTATTCTAATAGACATAAATTTATTATGTTTTGTAATTGTGATTTATTAAGCTTCCGCAACTTTAAATACTCTGTTGTTATCCTGAATAATTTATTATGAAATAAAGTTTGAAAATGTTTTAAATTCTATGATTGCCAAGTTTATACTTTAGTCCAAAAGGGACTGCAGACCTGGACGGATTAGGGTGTTACAAATGTAATTTATAACACTACAAATCATCTCTTTTGTGTTTTATAGTAATAATACTATTTTTTCTTCAAGCAGGGAATCTCCTGGAAACATCCTCTTTTACAAGGGAAAGCCATGACCTCATATAAGAGGATGGTTTAGTTCGGAGTCACACCATCCCGTGCACTGGATTGTCAATCATCTCTTGCATCTTGCCCATTCGCCGGTGGAGATCTCCCAACGCATTGTCCTCACCGACAATGCTTGCGCTCCCAAGGTGTCTCTCTCGTTGGCCTACTCTTCAATCTTCAAAGCTAGCCCTACGTGTTCCAATGTCGAACGCACGGGGTACTATGGACTTCATTGTCATGATGGGCCTCGGTCGCATGGGGGCCACTCACAATCTATGTAGAAGGCTCCATCTTGCTTCTATGTGTCCTCTAGTTGGGATCCGTTACAACTTTAAGGGCTGGGCCTAACCTTTCAAGAACCAGAACTTGAAGCCTATCAAACGACCCTCCTTGAGCTGACATTTGCGCGTTTTGCGACTGATCCTAGTCTCGGGTAGAAGGAACCATATTAAACTCGCGATTTGTCCATCTCGGGGTTCTTGCTCAAGAACAATCAACATCTCCATTCATACATATGAATCATATTGTGCTCCCAATGAATCTCTAGCTCATGCTGAGTCCCTCTTATGGCAAACATGCTCTCACGCTCTAAAGCACGGGAGGGGTTTTCATGTTCCCAACTCTTTTCTTGGGGCATTGGGATCTACCATGAATGGTGAGGTGGACGATCCCGGCACGACCTTTTCCAACTGATCCACAAATGTGGCTAGTAACACAGTGATTTCATTCAACACAGGATTTAGACTCGTCGGGGTGGTTGGAGCCACCAACTCATTATGGTTTCCCTTGCTGGATCCTCTAATAGATCTAATTGCCTCACCCCCGACCATACACACAGTGTTCATGGTCTTTCTTCCTCTTTCTATTACTCAAATAGCATGTTTAAGTATTCTCATCCAACTCTCAATGAAAATACCAATAATAGAATATTAATCTACTGCTTTAGTGAATCACTCCTTACTGAATTATCCCTATATATGAATAAGGATCTAGAGTTGAATGATACTTGAATACTTGAAACAAAACTTGTACCTCACTCTAATATTATGTGAGTATTTATAAGTTCACATGTTTGCCTATTAACTATCACCAATTCATTTTTCTAAAGATCTATTTGAGTCTATTAGGTAACTACCAACCCATTTTCCCTGGATAATTAACCATAATGCACTGCATGTCCTGCTTTCGCGCCTCAATGTTAATCGCTGGCTAAACCCGACCTACTGTCCCATAGATATCAATCTACCCGCATCCATTTATTGGACGATTACACAAATAATAAAACTATCATCCTAATATTCCCATCAATATCTTTTTTTAAATAAAAATTGTAGCTTTAACAATGATGTACATTTATTACTCCGTAACGTTTATTGTGCGGCAGGGTGTCGAGAGAGATCTTGTGGAGGCATTTTGAATTTGAAGGAGTTTCGCTTGTGTACATTAATGTAATTAGAGATGTGTATGTCGGAGCAAACGCTAGGGTGAAGATTATCAGGGGTGACCCTGACCCTTTCTGTGTAGAGGTAAGGTTACACCAAGGGTATGCCTTTAGTCTTTTCGTCTTTACTTTAGATGTTCTACCATAAGATGTTCAAGGGAAAGTTTCGTGGTGCATGCTTTTTGCTGATGATATTGTTCTGATCGACAAGACACAAGAGGGACTCAGAATTAGTGTCGACTTCTTCCACGTCAGCAGAACTTTCTTCTTTTTGTTATTGCCTCTTTTTCTTAGGACACTCGCTCTTCCAATATCTTTTCTCTTTACAATAATGACAGACATCACCAACTTTAGGACCCTTAGAAATCAAATTCCTTCTACCAGATTTTCTTTGTTACAAACTTCAAGTAGTAGATAACATTGATGATTGATCTTCTATACTAGAACCGGATGCTTTATGGCAGACTTCTCTCGTATGAATAGCTGATCTTACTTCTTCAAGAGACAAACTATCTTTTCTAAAAATACCATAAAATTCTTATATGATAAGGGTCCTAAAGTGTATTCTAACGTCTAGCATTTGATAATTTTAGAAATAATTAAAATTTTTTATTTTAGGCCTTTTTTTAACGGAGAAAATTACAATATCCAAAATGGACACTTAATCATAATGCATGTTCAATAGAGAGAGAATCATGAGTGTTTCTTTGGTGCACCTTGAGTGCATATTATTTTTGTGGACCATCTCACATAAAAAATATTTTTTTAAATTTTTTTATTTATAAAAACAAATGCTTATTTAAGTAATAAAAAATACTTATTTTGTTCATATGTTGATCCATGGTACACCTTAAGTCCACCATAGAATTTGACGAGAATCATTAATATGTTTAAAACAAAATTCATATATTGAAATAAGACTTTCAATGTGTTAAACCAGCGATAATAATTGATATAATTGTATTGCCAAAAAATGTAAAAGGAGTTAATTGTAGAATTATTGAAGATATTTTTTGAAAAAATGCATACGCAATGTTGACTACTTAAGTAAATTGTTTTTTGGGAAACCTAATATA